CCTGCTCCAGATGAACAACTAGGCAGCACAGTGGCTAAGTGGTTATCACTTCTGTCGAGCAGTCCTAGGGTCGTTGGCCAAATCAAAACTATGGCACTACCTGCCTGGAGTTTGCATGTTCTCCCTGTGCCTGTGTGGGTTTCCTCTGGATACTCTAGTTTCCTCCCACACTCCAAAGACATGCTGGTAGGTTAACTGGAACTTGTCCCTAGAATGTATGAATGTGAGTTAGTGACCTTAGATTGTAAGCGCCTTGAGGGCAGGGACTGATATAAAAGTACAATATACACAGTATATGTAACAGTGCTGTGTACATTGACGGTGTTATGTAAGTACCTGTAATAAACAACTGAATACATATTGATGAGTTATATACAGTTTCATTATTTTGATTTCTAGTGGATTTTGTCTTTTTTCTGCCACTCTGATCTAAACACCCCAGCCGGACAGCACAGCCAAATCTGAAACCTCATTTTTCTCCAATGTAGTTTAGAAAATCAGCTTGGTCACTGACTCATCTCCAACCTGGAAGGGGAGCCCAAGACGATGTTAATGGGAGCCTTTACTACCCCATGCACTCCTGGGTAAGAGGACAGGGAAAGTAGGAATGAAGGAGTGCATGAGTGTCAACAATGTTGGCATCAATGGAATTGAGAGTATACTAGTTTAGTACATTGGAGTGACAAGGAGATGAAGGCTCCCGATGAGGAGAGGTCAGAAACAGGTGCCAAATCAACAGGTAAAGACGGCCTCAGTAACATGCTGGGTCAGCAACTTGGAAGCAGCCAGGTAACATAGCATCAGATGAGAACTAAGGCTGGCCATACATTATACAATTTTCTTGAGATTTTTGCTTTACATTTACCAAAAACCATATAATATGAGGTCAAACCTAAATAACACTTTCAATTGTATCCAATTAGACAGGCCCTTGGACTACATAGTTGAAGGTAAATCTAAAGGAAATTGGACAGAAAATTGGAGAAAACTTGTAGTGTATGGCCAGCCATACAGTAGTCAGTGAACAAGCCTGGCTGGATACAGGAACAGATGAGCAAGGCAAGCAAGAATCACAGATAGTAAGGGACAAACCTAATCAGTACTAAGAATCAGAGTCACAGGTATAGTGCTAAAGAACTTTCAGCACTGAGGCCTAGAAGGACTTATATAGCCTGATTGGCTACCACTATGAGCAATGGGCATGCTCCTACATATGTGCGCATGATTGCACACGTGCTTGTACTATAATCAGCTAGGTTGATCTGGTCAGCAAGCTCTCAGTGTTAGGGCTCGTTCACACTTGGCTGTTTTACCAACGCTTGCCAAATGCCCCTATAGCGTTTGGCAAGCGTTGGTCCGGCGTTTGTGGAGCGTTTTTTAGCGCTCTAAATGCTCCGCAAACGCCGCATGCGCGGTTTAGCGACGGTTGCTAGGCGTTTGCCGAGCGTTAATACCGCCCCACAAATGCCTATAATGCAGTTTGAGTGGTGTTACCGCTCTGCAAAAGCCCCGCAACCGCGTCGCAATCGCAGCGCGAATGCCGGCCGGGCGTTTGCGCAGCAGCACCATAGACGAGAATAGGAGGCTTCAACGCCTCCTGACTCGACCAGAGGTGTCCTTTTTGCCGCGACGCAACGCGACACAATGTAAACGCTCCCGTTAGAACAGCACCATGTGCTGTAATGTGCAGAATTGGCAGAGGCGTTTGGGAAGCGGTAAAAACGCTTCCCAAACGCCTCTCTGCCGCCTGCACACAACGCTAGTGTGAACGTAGCCTAATAGCAAACTGATTATAGGAAAAAATCCAATTAGCTCTTCTTGCAATATTTTTAATAATTAGTGCAGTAACCTCCCTAGCGGTCTGATTATGTCAGTATTTCTGTGCTCAAAGCGGTACATTTTTTTGCATGGAAATATGTAGTTTTTTTTATTGTAGGCTGTAATTTTTAGGAATAACTCACTGAAATCTGTCCGAACAAGAGTCTAGTAAACATCCCGGGTAGGATAAAATTTTAAACACGAAATCATAAATTATAATTTAATAAATAATCATAAAAAATAATATAATAATAATAATAAATTTAATTCAATAATATAATCAAACCAAAAACAATGACATTTGAAATAGAGCGCCAAGTTCGCACATCACTGAGCAAAGTCGCAAAATCGTTTTCAGCGTCTGATGACGAATTTCCCCCACGAATCATTATCACTCAATTCTGCAAATGGTTTACTATCGCTGTTTTCTAGCTGGTCTAAAACCACTTTTGACCTAAAGGGACACTTTTTGGACGCCATGGACGTTTCTCAGTTTCCAGGCAGAAAGAACGGTAAAAATGCCGGCAGGGCGCAGGACAAAGCACTCGGGACAAAATGTATGTGAAATGGTTTGATACAGTGATGTTTTACTATGTGATTTTAATGTATTTAGTGAATGTCACTTTTTCACATTTTTAAATTTCCTGACGTCGCAGGGAACGGAACCCAGAAGACGGATGCCAGCATTGGACGGAGTACATTGCCGGGGACACTGCAGGGGGGACATCGTGGGAGCGAAGGACAAGGTAAGTGCAGAACAGATCCCGGAGCAGCGCTGCAAGGTGTTCCCGAGTGTAGCTCGGGGGTTACCGCTTGTGGTGCTGAAACTTTGCCCCGAGCTACACTCGGGAATACCGCCAGGGAGGTTAACTGCACACAGTGATGTCACCAACCAAAAACCCACCAGAAAAGCCTAGAAAAAAAACCCTGTAAGAGCATGGAGCTGCCACATCCCTAAACTGATAACAAAGCACACTACCAATACCCCTTGGGACTTTGAGGAAGTAACCAAACATTGAACGTCTTTAAAAGAATATAATTATATTTATACATGATTAAAAGCAATTAACATTGGATACCCTAAAACAGTGGTTCTTAACCTGGGTTCAATCGAACCCCAGGGGTTCGGTGAGTCAGTCTTGCGGGTTTGGCGGAGGTGAAGACCCACACCCGACTCATATGATTCGTGATGACATGCCCCGCTTGTCCATCATTGGCTGCAGGTGGTCACGCAACATCGCTTAGCCCAGTGGTCGGCAAGCCGCGGCTCTTTACACGCTTTAATGCGGCTTTTGTGTGCCGGGCGCCCGCTCCCCTCCCTCCTCTCGGGCGGCAGGGACTCTGCAGCGTGATCCAAAAAAAAAAACAGCCAGGGCAGCGCGCTCAAATGCAAGGATTGGCCAGTCTCGCTGCCATTCACATCCTGATAGCCAGTGATTGGCTGTCAGGATGTGTGTAGGGGGCAGCGTGACGAACGTGAGAGGAGCTAGGCTCCTCTCACAGTCCGCCCTGAAGACCGGAACGGCGTGGGAATACGGCGAGAGGAACGCGCGGAGCAAAGGTAAGTGAATTGACACAGGGGGGACTTGGCTTACTACTTGCTACTTACTTACTACTACTATATAAGGGATGAATTAATATGGGGGATGAATTACTATAGGGGGGATGAATTACTATATGGGGGATGAATTACTATATGGGGGATGAATTACTATGGGGGATGAATTACTATATGGGGGATGAATTACTATATGGGGGATGAATTACTATGGGGGATGAATTACTATGGGGGATGAATTACTATATGGGGGATGAATTACTATGGGGGATGAATTACTATGGGGGATGAATTACTATATGGGGGATGAATTACTATGGGGGATGAATTACTATATGGGGGATGAATTACTATGGGGGATGAATTACTATATGGGGGATGAATTACTATATGGGGGATGAATTACTATGGGGGATGAATTACTATATGGGGGATGAATTACTATGGGGGATGAATTACTATGGGGGATGAATTACTATATGGGGGATGAATTACTATGAGGGATGAATTACTATGGGGGATGAATTACTATGGGGTATGAATTACTATATGGGGGATGAATTACTATGGGGGATGAATTACTATATGGGGGATGAATTACTATGGGGGATGAATTACTATATGGGGGATGAATTACTATATGGGGGATGAATTACTATGGGGGATGAATTACTATATGGGGGATGAATTACTATATGGGGGATGAATTACTATGGGGGATGAATTACTATATGGGGGATGAATTACTATATGGGGGATGAATTACTATGGGGGATGAATTTTCATACCGTTTGTTACAACATATCTTTGCGAGCAATCCTTTTCGAGGATGCTGGACATAAAGATGAAGAACAGGAACAGACTTTGTTGCGAAAATGACATGAGAGTGGCACTTGCCAAGGTAATGCCGCGCATTTCTGAACTGGCCTCTGAAAGACAACAGCAGAAGTCACACTGATTTGCGGTAAATATTCATTATTTTGTTTTTGTGTGAAAATCATGTTTTAATGGTTTTGTTCTTTGTTCTTAATGGTTTTGTTCATTTTGTGCACCTATGTATAAATATATACCTATGTTTTGAATTTTAAAAATCATATTTTATTTTTCCAATTAAGAAGGGTTCGGTGAATGCGCATATGAAACTGGTGGGGTTCAGTACCTCCAAAAAGGTTAAGAACCACTGCCCTAAAATATGTGGCTCTAGTATGATATATTCACCATACAATAAACATCAATCCTTATCATTTTGTTTATAAAATTGTTGATCATGGGTTCAAAACTAATTCTCATACAATATCCAGGTGGAAACCTCAACGAGTTTCAATCAAAAGAGTCTAGATCTTCAGGGGTATGGCCGGATATCCTAATCCACATAAATAATGAATGAACATGACCGGAACCATTAAAACCATTAGCCGCCCGGCCAATGGCCGTTTGGCGGCTTCAAATGTGTCCCTGCATTCCGGGTGCACGCCATTTGGCATGCTCCCGCACATGCGTTTGCGCTAATGCAGAGCGGCGCAGCAGTGCGATCTGTCACCGGCCGTGCACCTCGGACACGGCCGATGACAGATCCGAGTACCGGCTCCTATTGCTGGTACCATGTGACCTGCTGTGACCAATC